TATCGGGATAAGGCTTATACCCCTATGATTGGTGCAGTCATTGCGCGGGCCCTTGTTAAAGATTGGGAGGATAATCGATTCCCCTTATGAGGGAACCTGCTCAGTGTTTCAAACTTTAGAGAACAGGACGTGTAATCCTCTGACAAGCTTTATTCCACCATCATTAAATAGATCTAGGGGAAGGCCATCGGAGCCCGGCACCGTGTGACGTCCCAAGGCTTGGATTTCCTTAAGGATTTTGGCCTCAAATACAGACCATATTACGTGTGCCGGAATAGCTGTGATGAGCTGACCCTGGTAACCAGCTAAACTGTGCTTTGAAGTGCTCCGTCCAGCGTTCAAGACGTCGCTGTTGATTGTGAATAAGCGAACTGTCAGCTTCATAGATTCTTTCGCTCAGACCCAAAGTATTCCTACCACTGACTAGGAAGAGATGAAACAGCTAACGGGAATTTCCCATGGCGGCAGCACGTTCCATTTCTGATACGCGTTCAGACCACCAGATTTCGCGATCTTTGTGTAGGCTTACGTTAATTTCACGTCTCACTACAAGCCGTGTTACGCTTTGCTCGCTGCCGGTCGGCAGTCACCAACTTGCGTCAAGAAAGTGCAGAGACTCAACGGGAATCCAGGGTGTCACGACTCGGAGTGTCAGATCACAACTAACTAAGCCAGCAGAATGCAGGGCATTCTTGATAAGCGACCAGTGCTCACTGATGTTATCGGGTATATATATCTATATCTATCTATCTCCGCCAAAAGAATGCAGTGTGTAGGACTTCCTCAGCACAGGCTATTTGAATCGCTTGGTCGTATGGGAGCAATCCACGAGGTGTAAGTGAAGGGTGATCAGCCACAACTCTAGACACTCACCCCCGACCATACTGAGGATTTCGGAGGCATGTTATCGGGTGGGGTTGGTTCTAGCTTTTCAGCTAGCGCGTTTTGAAAGACGGCTGAGCACGCTGGCTGAGACAACTTATCGCAGTCTAACAGCCGCTGTGTCGTACGTTTAGGACGCCCACCGAAGCACATGAATGGCTTGGTGCAAACTAACGCGTGATCGGATTTGATGGTACTGCTCCAGTACGATCGGCAGTCTTGTATGCAACCCCGCAATTTTTGGCTTGCAGCAATGTAGTCTATCTGCGTTTGTCGCTGACTCGAGGAGGGTGGAGGCAAAGTGGCGTATCGGCAGTTGGAGCGTCTAAAATTCGTACTGGCGAGGAATAGGCGGTGGTCGGAACACAGAGCCAACAGCCGTTTTCCGAGCGACAGGAATCTAGTCCGAAAGGACCACCCAGATGCACCTCACTCAAAGTCAGTCGGCCTACTCTAGCAATCATATCTCTTGTTAAAAGCACTATAACAGCCCGATTTTTCTTACGCAAGAGGTTGTGTAGCTTTTGGTAGAGAGTATCTTTGACTGTATTCAGGCTACGGTTCGTGGGTGCGTACGCTGAGACGACCAGTAAGTTGTGTTTTTTGGCGCGAGGACTATTTACTTTTCACGAGAGTCTAAGTCTCACTGCCGATTGGGATCTAATCCAGGAGCACGACCTTAGCTCTCTCTCTCTCTCTGCGAGCCACACCAACGCCAGCAAGACCAGAAGCCGCAGTCTCAGGGTTCCCAGAAAGACACATGAAACTTCGCAGATGGGTTTGACGGGGACGTCAATCGGATGGCGGAGCTAGAGTCCTGAATGCGAGTTTCTTCGATACAACACACATCGATGGCTAGGGTATTGAGGGTACGAGCCAAACACGCCTGTTGTCCTATACGCATCGACCTATTGGGGCCTTATGTGATTCGCCACTCCAAATTCCGGGGCTTAGGTTGCCGGTTTCCACCACTGAACAGCAGGTTATCTCGGCTGTGGGGTTCCCCCAGTCTGTTGTTCATCACACTTAGGTGTGTAATTAAGAA